TTGAAGTATTTCAACAAATAGATACAGCCTTGGACATGCTCACCAGGCTGTGCCATTAAATCTGAAGGAAAATCACATCATTAACTGCCTGGAAGAGAACAATTTTTGTTTCCATCCCCCCTAAAAAAGGTGATCTGACAGGGTGTGTAAATTATCAAACAGTATCACTAATATCACATAAAAGTAAAAACCTAATGGGGGTAGTAAGTGTGATGGAGACAATGAGATTGGTTCTGAATAGGACAGGGTTCAAAGCTATTGTGCATAGAGTTTCTATGAGTCACAGTTGACTAAACGGCACATAACAACAGCAACATCATCATTATTCATTGTCCAGATCTCAAATGCATAGTAAGTGATTGAAAAGACTGTGCGCTGTGTATAACCCTGCTATGAACATTGGTGAACAACTCTCCATTTGTGTCTCAGTTCTAATTTCCTTGGGGGGTCACACAGTTTGGTGATAGAGGGAGACAGTAAAGGAAATAGGAAAGATTTGGGTAGGACCTGAAAAGATGGAGTAATGGTGGTCATAGTTCAATGTTGATTAATTATGTAAAACACGATACATGAGAATGATTGTAAGAAACACAATGTGAATGAAGGACAATGTGAAACACAATGTATACACATTTTGTATACAAACCAATATAAAATAAAAATTAACAAACAAGCAAACAAACACAAAATAATAATAATAATAAAAAAGACCATGGACTGAATCAAGCACACTTTAGTCCTCAAACTGACATCATTGCTACTCGATAATTTGGAGAAGTCTCTGACTGCAGACTTTCCCAGTGCAATATTTCTCCTGATCTCCTGACTATTGGTACCAATGGTGCTGATTTAGATTCAAGTAAGATTGTGTCAGTTTCAATCTTTTCTCCCTCTTTCATGGTGTTGACTATTGGTCCAGTGGAGAGAAATTTCGTTTTCTTGACTTTAAGATACAGTCCATATTAAAAATTTTATTCTTTGATCTTCTGCAGCAAGCCCTTCAAGTTCTCCTTATTTTCAATATGCAAGATATATCATCTGCATAATATAGGTTATTAAGGAGTCTTCCTCTGATTCTGATGCCACAGGGTGCGATTTCTTTAATATTTTCTTGAGGCTTCCAGGCTTAGACCAAGCAAGCATAGGCAAAGGAAGGCAGCATTTTGACCGTAGCTCTGCTTTAGGTCTCTGGGCCAAGTATGAGCATGAGCATGATCCAGTGGAGATATTATACTGCTGTGCCAGCCATTCAACTCTGCTAGAAGGGTCCAGAACCCACACAGGGCCCCATCCTTTTACACCACTACTGACCTCAGATAGGCCCTGCACCATGATTTTCATATGCCTGACTTGCTATCTGAGCAGGCACACTAAGTAACATGAAGACAGATCAGGAGCAGAAGCTCAGAGACAAAGACCCTCTTCCATAACTATTAAAGAGAAAGTCTTTCCCTAGAGCTAGGACTTTCCATTTGGACATAGAACCTCCAGAACTGTCCGACCTATTTGTCAGTTTCTCTTAATGGGGAAAAAAATCTGCATACACTAATGACATTATAGCTTAAGTGTCTATGTTCTAGCTTGTTTATCATTGCTTTTATTAGTACTGCACTAGTCTGTTAATTTAGGGAGGTCTGGTGGTCTAGCAGCAAGAAGTTGTGCTGCAACCCCAAAGGCATATGGTTTGAGGTCACCAGTAGTTCCACAGAAGGATGAACAATCTCCTCCCATGTGGTTAACAGCCTATGAACACCTGCCAGAGGGTGGGTTCTGACTCGAAGGTACACAAGAACAAACAACAAGTCTGTCAGTTTGCTCTCCTGACATAACTTAGGGGTTGCTGTGATGCTGAAAGCTGTCCCACCAGTACCAAATGCTGACATAAAAGAGATGAAGAAAAAAATTTCAAAGGACATCTTGAGGCGACAAAGCAAAATATTATAATAAAATATCTACAAAGACCTGGAGTTAGATTTGCAGAAAAAAAATTTAAGCATGGAGTTACAATACTAAAGAGTATATAACAATGAGTGGAGGATGAGAAATCCTGTCTTCTTAATTTCCAACCACCACCTAGCTCACCTGGGGAATGGTTGTTTTTGTGTTCTTAGGTGCCGTCAAGTACAACTTATAGCGACCCTATGAACAATAGAACTGAACCCTGTCCTATCCTGTGCCATCCTCACAGTCTCTGATACACTCTACTTCATCGCTGCAGTCATTGGGTCAGTCTATCTGGTTGATGATTTTCCTCTATTATCTCTCTTCTTAAACATGATGTTCTTCTCCAAAGAATAGCCTCTTCTAGCAACATGCCCAAAGTACGTGAGAAGCAGCTTTATCATCTTTGTCTCCAAGGAGCACTTTGGCTGCATCTTCTCCAAGATATATCTGTTAGTTCTTTGGGCAGTCCATGGCATATTCAGTATTCTTTTCCACCATCATCAGTTCAAAGACAAAAATATAGTAGTTACTAAAAATAATTTAAAATGAATTACTTATACTTTGTTGAATGTTGTTGTTTTGTTATATGCAGTCGAGTTGCTTGCAACTCATAGCAACACTATATACAGCCCTGAATCCTGCTCTATCCTGTGCCAAGCTTATTGTCTCTGATACACCTACCTTCAATACCCCAGTCACTGGATCAATCCATCTTATCGACGGCCTTCCTCTCTTTTATTATTTTTTCTATTCACTCATTGTTGCTCCCTGCCCAGCCCTCCCCCCATTCACTTTTCTATTTGAAAAGTAAAAAAAAATAATAATAATAATAAAATTCTTTCTTTGTTATACAATCCCCCCTGACCTCAGTCCACTCCATCAGGCAGTTTTCATTCTGGACTCTTGTCATGACAATAATAGCTAATCATAGGGCCTTCCTCTCTTGGGATGTTGGATTTAATTTATCTGACCTTGTTCTTGAAGTCTCACAGAGATCTTATTCGGTCTATTTGAGATGATTTGGAAATATATGGATTTCTAATTTTCAAGTCACTTTATCTCACTTCTAATTTTTTTCTTACTTAGCTAACCATTCTGAAGAATAACATAGAACCATTTGAACTGAAAAATACAAAGTGAACAGTAATGACTCTACCTTAGGCAAAGGTTTAGCAGGTTTGCAGTGGAGTCCTCCAACAAAGACAAAATGTGGCAAGAGTGGGCGAGGAAATTCAAAATCCCAGGAGGTTCTAACAAGCCATATGTCAGCTTTCCCCATTGTCTCGATTAGTGTAGTTTGTCTTCCTGAAAAGAAAAAAAAAAGTATACTGTGAAGGAAGAGAATTGTCTTCTGTCTATCTACTTGGGTGACTTTCTAAAGGGAGTTTAGGATAAAGAAAGCAAAATATTTAAAAGAATGGAAGACCAGAAATTATGTATATTGCAATTAACAATCTGGAACAGAACATACATTGTAGATTGGGGAGAAAAAAAAAAACTATGTATGAGTGAATGAAAAACTGATTTATTTGTAAACTTTCATTCAAAATAGAATAAAAATAATTTAAAAAATATGAGAAGATACATCTCTAACGTCCCATCAGTACATTCCCCATCATAAACAATTATTTTACTCAAACTAAATATTCTAAACTTGCAAAAGGAACAGATGCAAAAATGCAGGCTATTGGTACAGAAACATCTCTCCTGGAAGAACTCAGTGTGGTTTACCATTTTAGTAATTCTATCACATGACACTTCCTTTCTCAGTTAAAAGATGAAAAATTTGTGATGTTTCTTAGCTACTTGTACCAACATTTAGTTCAAGTTAAGACAAAATAATAACTGATTATTAAATAGTGCTATTTGCAATTAACAGTTGGAAAAGTTTTTAAATTCTAGAACTATAGAAACATGTTCATTCTGAATTTTGTATTTTAAAGAAAAAAACCTAGCCATAGTTTTGCGTTTTTTAAAATTTTATTTTATATTACGAGATTTTGTTTTTCACATAGTGGATAATAATGGCTTTTTTTTGGTTCACTTTTCAGTGAGTGACTATAATATGATTATTAATAAAAGATTGGGACAGGTCTAGCAGGTTTTCTTAAAAAATTTAGTAGGGATCAGATAGTTTAAATTTTTTTCATGTACAGATTTTGTTTACAGAATCTTTCACACTGGAAATGATAAACTCTAGCTGCACAGAATTAAGAAATTAATCTTGAAAATGTTAAAAATAATTGGAAAACATAGGCCCATACGAATTCTGTTTGGGTTGGGTTTTCTTTTTTATTTCTTCAATTCCTTTTTCTTTTTTAAAATTTTACATTGGTTTACTTACAAAGTTTGTATACATTGCCACTTACACCATATCCCCCCCCCTCCAAGCCATTAAAACCGTATGTGGTCAACTTGTTTGTTAACCTGGAAGATAGTTGATTTGTAACACTTAATGAAGAGATTTGAATAATTGGAAATTTCAAGGTTCACTAGGCAAAGTTATGCAGAATCATATTATTTTGATTACTTAAATTAGGTTAGAAGATTGATATAATAGTGAAGACACAGACTACAGATTTATAAGACTGCAATCAATCAAGCACATATCTAAATTGAGAAAAACATATTGAGAAGACAATATACACAAATGTTTTCAAGCTGAAGAAGGGTCTTGAACATAGCTTGGATGGCTAAGAACACAAATAGATCTGTCTTGTCAAGGGTGAAACCAAGTTTCTCCTTGGAAGTGAGGATTTTGAAGCTCAGTATTGCATACTTTGGGAACGTGACCAAGAGAGACTGGTCTTTAGCAAAAGATATTATGCTTGGAAGGGTGGAGGGACAGCACAGATAGGAAGACCCCAGATGAGATGAATTGCTATAATAACTAGGGCAATGAGGGTTGGTATTAGTGTTGGAAATAATAAAACTGGCTCAGGACAGTTCAGAGTTTAGAGCTGCTGTACATAGGGTTGCTATGAGTTGCAGACAACCTGATGGCACGTAACCACAGGAAACGAGTAAGTACATTGGAGATAATTTAGGGTATTAAGTGAGAAATATGAATAGCAGTCTTCAGTCTACATTATGTTCTCCTAGACATTTGTTGAGATTTGTAACAACATTTTCAAAGATAAAAAATACAATAAAATGGATATATAATGAAGTAAATAAATTTTAAGTGTCTTAATCACTCAGTTTCTACTTTTCTTTAATCTTCTGTCCCAGTGATTGGCCACAGGCTTCTTCTGATTCTATAATAGAAGCTTTTCAATAATATTTGAGATTGAGAGAATATTTCTTAGTCATTTAATTTTTTCCTTAGCAAAAACTTCTGGATTTCTATGTACATATGTTATTGCTAGATACTATCCAGTTGACTACAGTTCAGAGATACTAAGAATAACAAGTATGAACCTTGTGCTGTACCATGCCAACCTCATTATTTCTAATATACTTTAGCCCACTGATGCAGTTGTTGTGTCAATATGTCTCATTGAGAGCCTTCCTCTCTTTCACTGACTCTCCATCTTTCCAAGCATGATGTCTTTCTCCAAGTACTGACCTCTCCTATCACCATGCCCATAATATCTGAGTTGAAGTTTCTCTACCCTTGGTTCTAAGGATAACTTTGGTATCTATCACTTTCTCCAAAGCATATATATTTGTTCTCTATATAGTCCATGATATTATTCAGAATTCTTTATCAACACCACAGTATTGATGTATTAACCTTCAAAAGCACAAGCAAAGGTAAAATTGTTATTTTATTAACTAAAAATCTTACTTACCAAGTACTTCACTGTAAAACTGATTCCATTTCTTCTCATTAAAACTTTGGAACCAAAAATCCAGATAAAGTACATATATCATATTTTTTATTCTCTCCATAAATGTCATTCTATCAGATAATTCAGAATAAATAACAGGTACATAGGATGGAGGGGCTACAAGTCCTCCACTATACTTTTCAATTGTATAGCCAGAAGTGAACCGGATACTATACACCAAAGGTATTTTAAGTATCTGAGCCAGTAATTCACCACAAAGACCAATAGCATCTGCAAGAACAACATCAAACTTTGATTCTTGTAGCTTTATCATAATTTTCTTGTTGAAAACTACTTCTTTACAGAGCTTTTCAATATAGTCAGAATAATCTGAAAAGACTTCTTGCATTAATTTAGCCTGTGTCCACAATGTATATTTTGGCATTTGCATCCATACATTAATCAATTCTTTTATTAAAGTGTCCACATTTTCTTTAGTAAAAGATGTAGGAAAAACCTCAAATTTAATAGTAGATGATTTGCTGGGATTTACGAAAATGGCAGCTGAAGATGTCAGGACAGTCACTTCATGACCCTTCTGAGTAAGTTCATCCAGAACTGTCTTTATATTGATCCAGTGACTATATTCTGTTGGCCACACGAGCACTTTTCCACAAGCTCCAGGGCTAAAATAACAGCTCAGTTGTATCAGTAGAAAAACTGAAATCCATTTCATAGGCATCCTGCTTAAATGACAGTCTTCCTCCTAACTGCTTCACCTTTCTGCCATTTCTCATACTTATGTGTGAGCAGAAATCAAACAAGAAGTTAAAATGCAACAACCTACCAGTTAAGTAAACAAATTATTTGAATAGTGAGAGTATGTCGGTTCCAAGTAGAAAAATCAAAGTGTAGATGACATTGAATCTATGTGTACTTGGAATCTCTTTTCTCTGAAGTGCAATTACATAGCTGAAAAGAGATGATATAATATTTGCATGTCACCTATATTGTGTAATAGCTTTAGAAAAATGCTAAGGACAGTGACATACATATGTAAGGCTACTTGTGATAGCAATCTTTTGTATAAAAAAACACAAAGCAAATTGCTATGAGTTGCAGTTGACACTACCACATACAACAACAACAGCAATTTTAAAATTACACCAAGACTTTTTGTTTCTGGTAAAATATGGATTGACATATGATTTATGTGTAGGAGAAAGGTGGGCAGTCCCTTTTCCTTTGATTTATAGCCTCTGCAAAACTACTGGAAGATCAGCTATAAATCAGTTTGGACTCAATAGTACATAAACAATTTTACCTATGTAAAAGTCCATCAATTTAAAATGTATCATTCAGTGATTGATTTTGTTATGTACACAAAATAGTACAATGACCAGTGTTATCAGTTTCAGAACATGCTCTTCTCTTTAGAAAAAAAAATTCTGTATCACTTAGCCATCAATCTTCAGTCTTACCATTCTGCTTTAAATGCATTCCTAGGAAATGGCTAAACTGTTGGTAAAGACATGCCTATTATGTAAGTTTTATACAAATGAAATGATACAAAATGTGACCTATGCGATCGACTTCTTTACTTTAGTGTAATGGTTTGGAGACTAATGAATATATGGTTTTGTTGTTGTTATGTGCCGTCAAGTTGCCTGTGACTCATAGCAACAGCCCTAAACCCTGCTATATCCCTTGTCAATATTATTGTTTCCAACACTCCTGTCCTCATTATCCTAGTGATGGAATCAATCCATCCCATTGAGGGAATTAATCTCCTGCACTGTCCATCCACCCTCCCAAAAATGACATCCCTCTCCGAGGACTGATCCTGCCTTACAACATGTTCAAAGTATGTCAGACGGAGCTTCAGAATCCTTGCCTCCAATGAGCAGCCTGGTTTCAACCACTCCAGGATGAACATATTTGTTCTCCTAGCAATCCATAGTATATTCAGTACTCATCTCCAGCACCAAAGCTGAAAGGCATCAATTCTATTATCCCTATTATCTTCTATTATCCCTAGTCGGGTGGAAGGGAAGCTTGAAAGTGGTGCACAAGGAAGCCACTTTAGATAAGCAACGAAGAGGCATCTTTCAAATGTACCCAGGAAATCCGGCGGGCCCTCGGGCCTGCGGCCCTTGGGCCACAAAGGGAAACATAATCTACACAGGAGTTCTACAGGACACGTCACCTTCCCTTGGAGAAAGCACAACTAAACTTAAGAGACACTGGTCAAAAGAAAAATGTCAGCAGTCGACGATTTTAGAATCACAGAAGCCAAAAAAGATTAAGATACAAGCTGTCAGATCATGGGTTGGACAATGGAAGATATTATCTGAAGGGACTTGGCAGATG